CATTATTTTTTATGAATGGAGGAATCAGCTCCTGGATAAACAAGGAACTGTGTTAAGCAACAGCCCTGACACTTCTCCTTACCCAAAGGATAACTGTTTTTAGCATGACGTAATAAAACTTACAAGAAAAAAAGTAGTCAAATCAATGAAAGGGAGTAGAAAACCATCCGTTTTTCTTGTCTGACTAAAGATGACAGCACATTACACAGAGGCAGTTGGCATTTATTGTATGTACAGCAGTAGTTATTTCGTTAAAAAATCCTCAGACATTTTAGTGATACAAATCTGTACATCATAGACTTTTTAATTGCATTAGCTTATTTGTGTATACACACACACGTGCACACGCGCAGAAAATAAACACTGAAGACGGGACTATCACAGCTGAATGCTAGGAATAAATGTTCTCCCCATCTGGGACATCAGAGAGTGTCCTACATTGTTGGGAAACACAAAGTTAGAGCACTGACAACCTCCAGTCCCGTTTTTCTGCGTTACTCTCACACCACACTAGCACTTGCGTAGCAGCAGCTTCGATACCCCTGGTGAAACGGTATCTCACCTTTGACTTAAAGCAGCCACCTTTGTTATATTGTTAATCTTGAGCTGTTTCTCCTCAAGGCCATGACTCAGCAATGTAGTGAAGTGTCACTCACTTTAAACACATGAACAAATCCATGAGGTCAGCTGTTCCCACTCACAATAGGAATTGTCTTAGCTTAGGGCTAGGTGTACTTAATTCTTTACCAGGGTAAATATTCATCTCAAACTTCAGCTCTGCAGTTCAGAAACTGCAGTAAATGAGAAAGTCTCGTGACTCTCACCTTGTGTAGAGCTTGTACTCCTTGTAACAGCTAGAACTACCAGAGCTGAAAGAGATGTTAGAGGAAGAACAAGACTCGACTCTGTTTTCACCATAGACATTTGGTAGCACTTTATGTAGTCACTTCAACTTTTTTCTTTCCTCGATTATATTCCACACATCGAAAGAACAAAAACATTTCAAAAATACACATCAGAAAGCGTTCAGCTGAAAGCCACTTAGAACTAGCAAGGAGACGCAGTACCAGAAACTAGTGTAAAATGCCACTGGTCCTCAAAATTCGTATCATTCCCAGGCAATAGACTCCTCCTGAAAAAGCAGCACCAGAAACCAAGTCCTCTCTAGAACTGAGCAATTAACTATACGTCTGTATCACCTAGAGTCCCAAAGTCTCTCCCAAAGAAGGGAAAAAAATCTACTAGAAAGCACTAGAGTAACACCCAATATCTGTGCCTTTAGAGTTTGTATCTCCACTATGGCAAACCTAGCTTGCTAATGACATTTTGCTTAAGTGAACATACAGTCTTTTGTCCACTATTGTGTTCCTTCTCCTTCCTGCTGCCTCAACCTCACAAATGTCATACGTAGTTAGGAGTAAAATGAATTATGTTTTTTCCTAGGGTGAACTGGATATGCAGTACCGGTGACCAAGGGATAAAGGAACCTTTCCCTCCATCTCAGTTACTTCAACAATCACCTAGCTTGCTTTCACATTTGAGGTACAGGTAGCTTTATTGTTTTAATCTACAAAGAGAAATTCAGTTCCTGTAGATCTTAGCAAAATTCAAATTTCAAAACTTCAAATTTTCCATTTGATGAGGCAAATCTTGAAAGTTTTCTCAGCAAGGCAAATGAAAAGCTAAGATACCATAAAGCAAAACACATAAACACAAGTTAAGATTATTCAATTATGGGCAGAGAGAATCTTTAGAAAGAAAAAACTTCACAGTGTTATCCTTATAAAGTAAATGCCACGCTTTCTTTGGTATACATAATATCCAGAAACACGGAATGGTAAGAAGAGGGGCAAAAAAAAAGATTCTATAAATTGCTTCCCAAGTATTGTTCTGAAGTAACTGGAAGACAGAAAACGAAAAGTTTTCTCTAGTATAATAAAGAGATTTGATCTACTGTGCTCTTCTTACTAACATTTTAAAGATTGCAATCTTAATAATTTGGGGGGTTCCCTTTGGCACCTTTCAGACAACTGCAGGGGAAGCACTCAGCACCTAGCAGGTTTAGTCCCTGCGTTCACTGCACCACGTTAGGAATCCAGTCCTCCCTCCTCTGAACTGCAGCACAGCTCACACGGCTGGTCAGGACCCAAGTCACCCCCACGCAACTACGAGCACACAAGTACAGATTCGAATCTCCTGCTCTTATAAGGCAACCTCCCGGGAAGGAGGAACAAAGTTCATTATTATGGGTCTTTTGTGTTTTGAAGAACTTTGAACTATTGAAGAATTCAGCTCTCCATTACATTTAGTACTTTAGCTTGTTATTTTACAAAAATTACTTGTAAAGGTGCGGGAAGAAGCGAAGAACACAGCAGCCAGATACAGAGGTCAAATGCATTATCAAATCAAACGGCGTTTATTTTCCTGAGGAGTGAAGGCAATTAAAAAAACAGGTTCCCGTTCCCTTTTTACCCCCAAATGCCTTGTTTTCCTCATCAGAATAATTAACTCTTTCTCAATATATACAAGCTCAAACTTATGAACAGTTTGCCATATTTAATGTTCTCAGTTCTCACCATTAAGACATGCATTCAGGCAATCACCAAGACTTCAAGAAAAGTTAAAAAAAATACACCTTCTTCAGGGCTTATTGTTTTTGGAGTAACATACAAGCAAACCCTACTCCTGTGCTTCACAAGTTACTCACTGTTAATTCCACCACATTCTACAGTAAAAAAGTTCTGTAAAATAAAATCCCAGCTCAGTGACTTGAACAGACTTCAAGTAGTGATAAATAACCCCTTTATATCCCCCAGTTCTACAGCTGCTAGCTTTTAGTGTAGCTTCTAGTGTAAGGGGTAGCATACACAGAACTTAGTGTCCCCTTAATTACACTTGGATGTCTTGAGCTCAAGGCCCAGGTCTACTTTTCTCTTTCAGCAAATAAGACCAAGAATTTGAACATGATAAGGATTTCATTTCTCCTCCGTCACACAAAGAGTTCCTCCTAAGGTCAATGGAAAAAGCGTACGAGGGAACATTAGTCTTCTCAAGCTTAGCTCACAGGCCCTCTAGAGCAAATGAAGAAGCCTAAACGAAGCAGCCCAGCTTCTACCAAGTGTTAAATAGACACGAAGGAGAAGCTTCCAAGCACATTTAAGCAGGACAAACCCTGTTAACTGACCTGGGATTTCGAAGCATATTGAAGGTCTAGCATACTCATGTGTAACAATTTTTTTTTTTTTAAACATGAAATGTTAAAATGCCTTCAAGTGCTTTCATACTAAGCAGCATGCTTAAACACACGTTTGGTAGCCTTCACTGCTGTATTACCACAGTGATTTTGCTAAGCTACATAAACATTGCGTTTTTCAACAGTAGGCTCAGTTAAAGGACTTTGGCAGTTAATTTCTTGCAAAACTTTTTGGTAAAATTAAAAAATAAAACCCTGTGGATTTATAAAGATATTTGCAAACCCCAAACCCACCGAAGTTTTGAAATGTACTTCGATTTTTTTCAGTGAATTTATATTTCTGAAGCATCTGAAGGATGCTTTGAGATGTAAGCCCAATGATCTGCCATTTTTTTAATGCAAACAAGAGGTCTTTTAAGGGAAAAATATCACCATTGGGAAAGCAGGCACAAATCTATCATCTATTTGTATCAGTAGCTTTCTGGAATGAGGGTTTTACTGGCTAAAGAAAACAAGTTTGGACCCTTGTTCTCCACAGGAATGTATATGATGGAAAAGTACAGGTATGCGCAGATGTTCCCTGTGAAATACCAACTGATATTTTACTCCTCCTTTTAAATATCTAAAAAAATCCCAAACCTACACTTTTTTTATTTTAATTTAAAGGAGCCTGTTGCTACATTTAATGAGGAAAAAGTCAACCAAAAGTCAAAAGCCCAACCAACCACTCACCAGGTAGTAACACTGATACCTCTAGAAACTGAAGTTAGGGGATTATTATTATATATATTTTTTAAAAGCTCTCTTCATAATTGCATTTCTGAGATCTCAATAAGTGTTTGGCATCAAAAACAAGCTGTCTAATGAAAAGCTTATGTAGGGTTAAACATGCTCTGTTCAACACTTATTGCTCCAACCTTTGCATTTGATACGATGATTAATATACTTGTCTAACAAGTACTTGAGAGAGGAAATTAGAGCTCCTCAGACAAGTTGTTGCATTAGCAATGCAGCTTCTAAGTAGGGCAGAAGAGCTACGCAAAGGATTTTTCAGATCTTTTGCTTGCAAGTAGACTTGGGTAGACTTGGAAAATGTTCTGTTTTTTAAGCATAACTTATGCACAGAATATTATACAATATGCTAGGATAAATATTTGCATAATTTATTGATTTATGGCTACTATCAAAGGCATCTCTCCACCTACATGGACTGAGCAGTTAATAGAGCAGGCTAGAGTTATTACAGCAGGCTATCTTACTCAGCATTTTAGTTCTGCCTCTAAAAACTTACCCGTTTCCAAATTACAATACAAAGTGGATCTGGGCCTCTCTTCTGTCTTTCAGCCTGACTGGAAAACCTGGCTGAGACTGGTGCTGCTACTGTTCTGTGCTGCAGTGAGGAAGCACAGTGCTATGTCAGTCATCTTGGCATAGTGGTTCAGTCGCACACCAGGTAGGGGATTTCAGTTCTTAATTCTCCCCTAGCGTAAACGAGGTGCTCACATAAAAGTCCTCCCCACCTGCACCATTCCCAGCGTTCCTTCATCCTGCACAACAAACCACACAACCCTCCAAATGCTGTCACGATATAAATTCATGCTTCTCATATTGGAGGAGCAACTCATTAATTATAAAGGAAAGCATTCTGGAAAAACGAACAAAAGACAACCTTTCCGTTTATTCCTAGACCACTGTATTAGTGAACATCATTTTATGCAAGTTGTCAGCTGCATATATATTCTCTAGTACTGCTCTGTAAACATCTGATCGACTGATGTGCCAGTGTCCCACGAGAAAGCGTTCAGCCTCATAGGGCTGGCTCTGCTGAAGCACCATTCAGTTTGCTCTTGCTTTTATTTTTGGAAAGGAGCTTCCGGCTGAGGATCCGTGAGAGCGTCCCTCCCTTCCTGCGCGCCTCCTCCGACAGCGGCTGCTGCAGGTAGATGAGGTCGTTGTGTGACTGACTCATGCCCGGGTCCTTCTGGTGATGCCGCCGCCGGAAAAAAAGTTTTGCGCTTTTTTTCAAAATCCCACCTGAAGACACAAACAGCAGGGGATACTTTAGACAAAACAACATGCTTTCCTGTTAGGTCTTGGTCTTAATAGTTCTGATTTAAATTCACCCTTTCAATGCCAAAGCCATGTTAGAAAGCTAATAGTGTGGTAAAACTAAAGCAAGAATATTGATCGTTTCTAATCTGGAGGTCACAATGGGTCCACCTTGGACCACGTCGTTCACACTATTTCTCAGAGTGGCAACTTGAGTGTTCGCTGTGCTGTGTGCCCAAGGTGCACGTGCGTGCACAACATGCTGCTCGGGCTGCTGACAGAATCATTATGGTTGGAGAAGACCTTTAAGATCATCGAGCCCAACCCAACCGTGCAGCCCTCTCCCAGCTGAACACCACTGGAAACAGAGGCTGCGCAGAGGTTTGCGTTGCACTGCTTCTCCTCATTCCATGCAAGCGTCATGCAGACTGAATCGCCTCGATCCACAACGGACTACGGCAGTTCTAGATTTATGCACATACATATGCTCTTAAAGTAAGCAGGAAAGTTCAGGGAGATGAGTTCAACTGCATTGCTAGGGGAGCCCTGAAGAAAAAAAAATATATTTTCCTTTCAGTCCTGCAGAAACAGCTCTTCACTGAAAGAACGGAGGAAAACTAATGGCAAACATGTCTGTGAGCAAGCAAGCATCAAATATTCTGATTTCAGCTTCTGAAGAGCCAATCCAACATCCTGTGGAAGTGCCCTTATACTTTGTTAGTTTCAAATACTCTTCTAGGAGCTATGGCAGTGTTCAAACATACACATGCACAGCATTTGGTGTGGGTTCTCACAAGTCCAACAGGCATATTTAATCCTTCCATAAGATTAATAGGACAGAATATGTTTATGAAAAGAATGAAACAGAGGAAGTAAAGTATCAAAGCAACTGAGAAGAAAAAATTAGTCCATTATGCACAAAATGAAGTTGGTATTTTAATTCCAAGTGCATACTGTTGGTTTCTGAGAACAGTGCTTGGAAGTCAACCTTCATGCAGTAGCCTCATACAAGTAGACAAAATGTATCCTGTAAGGATTTGGGAGCACTAACTAGAGTAGAGATTATGAAACATTTGCTGTTCTAAAATCCCATTAGAAGTAACAATTCAGTTCAAGTAGATTCAAAATAATATTATATTTGCTTCCAATAGGCTCAGAAATCCTCCCAAATCCCTTCTGTGGTTATACTAGTTTAGGTTGCTTCCTTTTGTTGCATTCTTTCCCTCAGTACCATGTCAAACCTATTACGTAGCCATGGAAATCACTGCTGGCATCTCACCAGGCACTCGTGTCCATCACACAGAACAGCATCTTCTTCCTTGGCAAACCTCCATTTTTTGGCAGCCACCGTTCTGCAGATCCCCACTGCACCTTTCCGTACGCGCCCGCGTGCCAGACGTGCAGGACAGCACGGTGGCAGCCGGCAGGAAAACCGCTCCGAACTCGCAGGGACACCTGGCCTGGCGTCGGGAGAGCAGCCCAACGCTCTAACAGCAGCTCCAGCTTTGCGTGGACACCTGGCAGTGCGAGCAGAGCAGGACCCGGAGGGAGAGCCCCCGTGGGAGCCTCCTGGCAGCCAGGCCGGTACGTGAGGGGCCCTCTCCTCGGAGCAGATCCCATGGCTCCTGCCCACACCACTGTCCAGCTTCCTTCCCATTCTTCCCCTGCTCAGCTATTCCTATCACCACACAATCTCGATTCTGCTTTTTCTGGTTGCAATAAATACAAAAAGGCACACACAATAATGCTTTCACATGATACTGTGTAAAAGCTGGATTTGTCTCCTGAGGGCTGCACACAGGCTGCACGTTGTTTTCCACAGCAGCAGCTGCAGAGTTGGCCTTTCATGGCAACTCTGTTCCACGCAGCTGATGCTTCTTTGTTCAGACTGGAACAGTTAAAAACATGCTTGGGGTGACTACTTTTTAGTTTAAGAGTAAGCACTCGACACTTGGGCAGACCTTCTGTATGTTTTGTCTTGCTGCTGACATGTATGCATGTGTTCTGTTCACGCACGGAGCACGGTGGCATCAGAGCAGGAGTCAGCCAAAGGCAACTCGGACTCACGGATTCAAGTCCTGACTGCTCTCCCATCACCTTTTTCATCTTTTCATCTTTGAAAAGGCTAAAAGTTTGCCTTACCACTTCAAGCTGTTGTCAACGGCATAAAAACCCCACTGTTCCACCCCATGATACTGACAGTTGTTCACGTGCAAAGGCTGGTGGGGATTGATGAGGCCCCGCTGCTGTGGAGCTTTGGTTTTAGCAATCAGCTGCTCTGCCCAGCAGTCTTGGCAGCTCCAGTTGAACTTGTGCCAACAGCAGGAGCAGGACAGAAGCAAATGTCTAGTCCTCTCCATTCAGACTGACTTCTCAAATTAGGGAACAGAACCAAAGCAAGGAACTCTGCAAAAAAATCATGCTGGTGACCTGGGACAACCAGCCCCTGCTGAAGAACTGCAGGCAGCAGTTGCCCGAGGAGAGCACAGGGTCAGCACAAACAGCAGCCCAACAACGTGAGAGGAGCTACCAAGGCCACTATGAGCTGGACAGTCGCCACCTCCTCGTGGCGGCCCCTGTCCGGCGCGGCATGTGCCGCCTGCCAGGGCTCCGGCCGCACGGGAGCATGCACGCCTGGCAAGCAGGCAGGGCAGAGCACATCACACACCTGGCAATGCTCATGCTGTTTGCATGCTTACTTCGCAAGTCTTACGGGATCCGCAAGCCAGCTCCACCCCTAAAACCAGGAGGAAGCAGAGAGCACGTCAGTCAGACTGCTCGGCCCGCGTGGCCCTCCCGGGCTCCCGAGCAGCAGCGCAGCATGCTCGGAAAAGGCCATGGGGCTAGGGTCACTGCCGAGCCTCGCTTTTGTTAAAAAGGGAAGATTTGCTCCTGCATCTAACTGGATATGAATAGAGATCACTTCACTCCTTCCCAATTCCAGAACGGCTTTTACCCAGAAGGTCATGCAAATACTTGTCAGGATACTTGTAGTTCTAGGAATAGGTTAGAAAGAGAGATCTGGAAAACTGAGCAGCAGCTTTGAAAACAAGCATTTTGTGTACGCATATCCAGCTGCAGGGTCACACATGGTTTGCATGAGAAGATGATTGACTCATAACCAGATAGGGCAGGAATGGTCATGATAGAGATCAGCAATGCACAGGTGCCTTCCAAGCCTTCCTTGCTGTCCCATTCCGCATGGCCCACCTGGATAGCAAATCTTTTGTTACAGCAGAGTAGTCTGCTAAGAGATCTGAGCATAGGAAGGTATTTTGGAGGGAGGAAAGAAATGGACGGGGGAAGAAGAAAATAGGTGCCAAACTACATTTTGCTTCAGTTTTGCAATGAGTGTTCCACTGCGAAGCTACGTTTTCTTAAAAAAAATAAGATAAAGAAAACTTACTGTGTAGTCAATTAATTCTGGTTGGTATAGTAGTCCTCTTAAGTTTACAAAAGGGAATGGGTAAGAAAGAGGAAGTCAGAGAGGCAGAAAACAAAAATATGCAAGAATAAAAAACGATAATGCTAGACAGTTCTAACTTTAAATCATTAACACTATATGTGAGATCTTTTGAAGCAGAATTTTTTTTGGTTGCTTGTTTGTCTTGAAAGGGAAAGTATCTGACAAAACAGAAACCTTGAACTATCAAAGCTAACTGAAGGCAGGGAGGTGGAAATACGCTACCTCACTCTGTGAAAGCTACTCGGCTGCGACAGAGGAGGGATTCGAATCTTCCACAAGGAAGATCTGTTTGTTTATTTTTTTTAATAGCTTTTAACCTTTTTTAGGATGAGACAACTCTTAGAGATCGTCTGTGCTTTTTAGCAGTCCTATCCTGTACTATATAACCAGAATCTTTAGAAGCCTCTTCCCTTTGCAACATCCTGCACCGGGAAAAACACAAGCCTACTGAAAAATAAAAATAGGCAACAGCTCACATACAGGTTCCCACTTCTTCCTTTTATAAGAACACACTAAATAAGCCAGAGGTTTTGCAAAATCTTATACAGCTTCCTAAAATTTTGCAGGCTCCACATGAAAAATAATACTTATACCTATCCCAGCTGCTTCCCCCAGCAGCCCCCAAATGTCCTAGTGCCTTCCCTCCCTGCAAGAATGACTGCTGGTGCATCATCTTGAACTATCAGATGGAATAATGAAGCCGTGAAAATGCCAGAAAACCTTGATGGTCTAGGAGAGCCTTGGCCAAAAGATCCAATACATACCCTATGCAGGGGGAATGCTGCCGTCTAGCAATATACTGTGGTTTTGTACTAAGCCTTTTTACAGGATCTCTGGGTAAGGAAAAAGTACAAAATGGTAAGATAGAAGAGGAATGGCCAGCTCTTCTTCCAGGCTGTCACCTGTGCTAACCACAGAGCTGCAAAAGCCTCAGGGGTGCTGGACTTATAAAGGAAATGTAAAGAACCCGAAGACATTTTCAAACTGCACTTATTTATTACCTGACATTTATTTTTAAGACCACACCCAGTTCTATTTTCTTTAGCAAATGCATATTGACAAAAAGGGCGAAAGGGGAAAACTATTTTAAAGGTGGAGAGGGCACTTGTGGCTTTGCCCTGGAGTTGCCTAACAAACACTTTTGAGGAGGCAGGGAAGCTGTGTGCTCAGAGACGTGAGGGAGGGAAAGGAATACACCGGAAAGCAACTGTGGGACTCTGCCATTTTCACCTTAGTAAAGGGGATTGATGTACAGCACATGTCTTTATTTACACATAAAAACACAGGTTTCATCGAGAAATTGACAATTTGGCTACTTATCTCCCTCACAGATAACTCAGCTGGACATACTGATCTGCCCTTCAACTTCTAAGGATGAGCCCTTGGCCTATCCGAGCACTGCATGATGTCAGTCTTTAGGGTTGCTTGCAAGGCTGCTTCCCACAATTGCAAGAAGCTTAAGGACAAAAATCAGCAATAAAGGACCAACTACTCAGGGCGTTGCGTGACACTGCCAATCATATGCAGAAAGCAGCAGTAAACTCAAGGGGAGGTAACGTCACATACCTTTAGATTTTTTCATGCTCCCGGTTTCTGAAACGCTTAATGAGCTCCCAGACATTTCTTCACAAGTCTGCTCCAGCAGCGTGTTGCTGTTCCACTGCTGGCCACCATTCTCCAAACCCCAGGCCTTATGGTCACTTTGCTGTGGGTCAGTATCAGGTGCTGTTTCTGCAGCACTTACTGATAGCTTTTCGTCAGCGGCGACTTCTGCAATACCCTCGTCCTCAGCAGGTGCATCTGCCTTTGTGCAAGAGCCATCCATGGCTGCAGCATAGTCCATCATCAGTGCAGCTTCACTGTCCTGAGATAGAGAGATCTGCCCAGGGAAAATAAGAGACGACACTGACACAAGTCCTCTTCCGGAGGAGCTCAAGTTGCCCTGCAATCGCTCAGCCCTTTCCCCTCTCACATTTCAATTTGTGCTGCTTTGGCCTAACAGAAAGCCACGCTGTGAGGTTTCCGTGGCTCTGCCGAGGAAGAGGAGCATATAGCCAAGTTCCAATCACAGCATTAAAGCCAAATTACTGGGAAAAAAGAAATAATTACGTGCCTCCCACCTACCTCCAGCCCCTCATAAGTATCAACACTTTTTCCTACACGTGCTGCCATAATGAAGTATCAGCTTCCATAGACAGAAGTCTCTCAGCATGTTTAGGAAAAAAAAGTATCAAATTACTTCATCAAAACCTTCTGGCAGCTAGATACAAGCCCACACAATCCCAGTGCCCCATTTTCTAAACAGACACATCTTGCACTGTGGTAGCCGATCCTCGTTCTCCCCACCTCAGCACGTCTCGGTGTCAACTGAGCCAGCTTTTCCTCATAAGTTTATAGGGAAACTGTGCAGAGCAAGCCACTCTACAACAAGTTTCTGTTTAAACAAGTTTGACAGGTAGAAAACTCTTTTCTTTCATATTCTTCCTTTACATCTTCGCTCTATGGCAAAGCAGAGGGTATGACTCTATTCTCACCTGTTAGGGCATTTTTAGTCAGGCTGTCAATCTAAGCCTTACACAAACAAACAAAACTCCCCCAAAACAAACCCACACAGATTTGGCTTAACTTGAAACAGTTACGAAACAGTTATCTAATCAGACATACACAGAGCGAGATCCTACAGAGCCTGTTGAACCAGAGAGAGCAGAACAGGCATTAAGTTAGTGACACAGTTAGTGAGGCAAAGACTTCTTGGTATTAGGCGTTAAACCGAAGTGTTGCTTTCTTGTTTACCTTGGACACCCCTGATATGATAATGGTGCTTTTCTTTCTAGGAGACTTCAGCTTCTGCTTTGCAGACTCGCTTAGCTGTCGAATAGCTGCTTCCGCCACAGGGTCAGTGCCATTCAAAACCAGCAGTTCTGGAAGGAAACAATTTCCAGAGGGAAAAGAGAAAAACAGACAAAAAATCAGATCAGAGAGAGTCAGACTTTCTTTCTAACTTCTGGGACCCAGTCTTCCAAAAACAGGCACAGGGGCTTCGCTTACAGATCCCACCCAAAGCACACATGAGGATGTGAAGGCTTATACAAAACACCCTACTATTTCCAAGCATTACTGCTACTACAGTGCAGCAACTGTTGCCTGCTTTAAGTGGTGGATCGTGTCAGATATCATGGCCATTTAGAGCCACAGTGCTAACACAGCACAAGGTAGGAAGCTGGCATGGCCTCCTACCTTTTCAGGCAACTATTTTGCTCTCTTTTCCTTTCACTGCTCAGCATTTCCAGATTTGCTGAAGACACTAAGAATGGGACAGGAAAGGCAAAGTGGCAGCTGCTCTGCTCTTCATAAGCTATCCCTACTGTCTGGAAACTGCCCTTCCTTTTCACTTACAAATATTGTGCAGGACTACAGAATCTGCCTTATAAAAAAAACTCTTAAAAAATACTTGTTGTGCTTGTGATTAAAGCATGGCTACTTCTGTCACGTAATATGCATGCTCCTCAGGCATGCTGAATATACACCAATCAAGTTCATCACGCTTAGGAAAAACAGTGCTAAGAAAGTTAACGAAATTTTATCCTGGACACAGTCTGTGACACTTGGCAATTCTTACTACTGTTATCATTTAAAATCATGGTAAAGCTATAGCACTTTTTATGTAGTACTTGCTGCTGTCTTCTAGCTAAGAGCAGAGAATGGGCTTCATATTGGCATGGTATTTGTAATAGTAATGTAATACTTAAGTTATTGCCATGCTGAATGCTCTTTTGTGTTTCTTTCAACTCAAGCTTTGTTCCAATGAGTAATTCTTCCTGTTACGCTGTATAAACATTTCACAGAAATTCCCCTGCACAGTGATAAAAAGAAACACATTGTCCATATCTATTAATCTGCTCCAGCTTGTATTCAGAGTAGTTTTCCAGTAAAAACTTTGCATCTTTGATACTACCATCAGTTATGACAGTCAACACAGAAGTCTAGCACTCCAACGCTTCCCAAACTGACTTAGCAACACTTCACTGCTTTATGGCATCAGAATACTTTTTAGTGTGGATCCCAGGAAAGATTCAAGTGCCACTTGCTATTCATGGTTATTGTTTCATCCTCTTCCCCATCTTTTTGTCCTTCATCCATCCCATCTCTATCACTACCCTCTGCCACCCAGCAAGCACTCTGACTGCGCCAGAAGCAGCCTACACCATCTCCAGATTGTTTGTGTGTACACCTCGAATCTACACAGAGAAAACTGAACTCCACAGCACCTGCCATTTGTATCTAGACTGGATCACCTCTTTCATTACTGTTGTCCACAGAGTGACAGGGAGAATGAAAGGTGACCACGCGAAGGACTGAAAGGAAAAGCTGAGAATTCAGAGTTGCACCTCGGTAAGGCAAAATATGACAGAGTCAAAATCAGGTTTAGTAAGTTAAAATGTAGTCATAATGGATTTATAAGTAAAGGTGTTATCAGTGCAACCTGACATTTGGACAGCACTTGTCTCTATGCTGGTGACTTAAGAAGGTGGAGCAACAGGCACAGCGAGATTTGGCAGGGCTGAGGAATTAGTCTTCTGCTCTTTCAGCCTGCCAGGACTTACCTTTGGACAGGGGGTTCTACAATAGCCACAGAGTAAGTGCCAAAGGTTTCACTTAGGATTTTGTGCAATGTCCCTCATGGTTTAACAGAGGAGGGACCTTGCATTCAAAAGGAGAAGAGCCAAGCTGCCGATTGCCTCGCCTCTCCAAGACACAGCTCATTGTTATTTTTTCAGAATTTGTATTTTAAATCACCAATTAACAGCAGATTTCTATTGCAAAATCATTTGTTACATCTCTACCCACAGCCTTTGCTAATATAAACATCTCCATGCCCGATGAAAGGCAGTAGCCATATGGTTTTGCTGTTACTTTAACAGGATTACAGTAATGCCATGTGTGGAAAAGAGAGATTTATTCCAGTTAGAAGCTGTAAGTGTTTCTGTTACCTGTATCTGAAGATGATAAAGTTTTGCTGACTGGAGCACCATGGGAATGGATAGCTTGAACAGAGAAATCCTTTTCAATCACCTTGACTTTAACTGGAGTTTTCACAGGAGAATCTGAGAAGCAAGTTTGTGGTTAGTTATTTGAACTATTCAGGGTACTTATGACCAAAATAATAAGAATTTGTTAGATCTGCATTAGATCCTGTTCAAATTGTGCCTGAGAAAGTTATTTAATACAGACTCTCAATAAATGTTGTCTATGGTAACCTGACTCCAAAAGACATTTAATGTGGAGGAATTCACAGTTTTTTAGAATTTACTGTAATATGCTAGATAACACCCACTAAAATAAGTGATCTACTTCGACAGCTTAAAAGAATGCAGTTCTTTGGGTGCCTTCACACAAAGACTGTGTAGAGGTTTCACTTCCATACTTATCCCAAGAACCAAAGAGCCTGCTCCTGAAAGGCACTGTCAAAAGACTTGGTCACTAGATGGCACCTGTCCTCACTACCGATTAGGAGATTACAAGACCCAGGACACTGTTGTGGGCAGACAGTCCAAGAGACTGACGCTTTTGTAACGGGGAAAGCCAGACACAAACCCCTTGTTCTGCTTATCTTCCTACCATGAAACTTTAAAAGCGTGTACAAAATATTAAACAGAACATTAGTCACTGCCACAGGTTTGAGCAAGGCTTCATGAAAATTAAAAGACTGCTAGTACCTCCCCTACCACCAACACAGAGAAATCTGGATGAGAGTGGCCTCCCTTTCCACAGCTGCTGTTCCTCACAGATAATCCTAACAGTGAACACAGAAAGAATTGGGCTGCCTTACCCGTGCTCAGTGGAGAAGATCTCCCTTCTAATCGAGGTTTGGTTTTCACAGCAGTTACAGTAGTGACCACAGTCCCGCAGGGCATCACAGTTCGATCCTTCTCTACCTTGGTGGATGGCACTGGCGAAGAAGTTTGCCAAGTCTTTAATTCATTTGGTTCCACAAAAGAGAACTAGGAAGATAAAAAAAAATCATTTTAGAGGCACAATTAAGTAATAAGGACACTTATTCACCTACCTAGTAATTTTTAAAACATTTCGGTCACCATTTAAGTGCCAAATAGATAATTCTTCTGAAAGAATCAAAGAATGGTTAAGGTTGGAGGGGACCTCTAGAGATCATCTAGTCCAACCCCCAGATCCAGCAGGGACACCTAGAGCCTGTGGCACAGGGTGGCATCCACGCGGGTTTTGAACATCTCCAAAGAAGCCTCCACAGTCTCTCTGAGTAGCCTGTTCCACGGCTCTGTCATCCTCACAGTAAGAAGATCTTCCTCACATGGAGGTGGAACTTTCTGTGTTTCAACTTGTACCCATTACGCCTTGTCCTGTCACTGGCCACCACTGAGAAGAGTTTGGCCCCATCCTCCCTGCATTCACCCCTCAGGTACCTGTACATGTTGATCAGATCTCCTCTCAGTATTCTCTTCTCCAGGCTAAACATGCCCAAATCACCTAGTCTTTCCTCACATGATAGATGCTTCAGTCCCTTAATCATCTTCGTGGCTCTCCACTGGACCCTCTCGAGAAGCTCCACATCCCCCTCATACTGGGGAGTCCAGAACTGCACCCAATACTCCAGATGTGGCCTCACCAGAGCTGAGCAGAGGGGCAGGATCCCCTCCCTCGACCTGCTGGCAACGCTCCTCCTGCTGCAGGCCAGGATCCCATTGGCCTTCTTGGTCACGAGAGCACGTTGCTGCCTCACGGTCAACCTGTTGTCAACCAGGGCTCCCAAATCCCTCTCCATGGAGCTGCTTTCCAGCAGGTCAATCCCTAATCTGTACCGGTGCCTGTGGTTATTCCTCCCCAGGTGGGAAGGCAGCAACAGCTCCCAAGATGACACCATATGACGCGGATGCGCTCTCGGGACTCGACCACACGTTGCAGTGTGCTGCAGGCGACCGAGCAGGGCACCGCTGAGCGCTCCGGTGCGCCCGCAACAGCCCAAGGGCTGCCCCAAGGCAGCACCACACCGTACCTCTGCCGTGAGGGATCCCGGGCCAGGGCCCAGCTCCAGGCTGCTCCCACTGGCCCGGCGGCTCAGCGCAAAGCTCTGCTGGCCAGAAGGCTGCTTCCGGAACAGGTCGAGAGGGACCGCTGCCCTCGCCAGCAAAGAGCCTGCAAGAAATAAGAGCAGCATAACCAGCGCGTGCGGGAGCTGACACGCTGCTAAGGGGGAGAAGAGAGGGAAGACGGGAGAGCAAAGGCAGCTAATTGCAAGAAATGGCTCTCACCATAGCATGTTCTCAGAGCTCTCTTTCCTTTATACGACTACTCCTCATGCATGAGCTAATACTGTGCAACAGAACAAAGTGGAGACATGAAGCATTACTTGTTTGCAGGTATTTCTGGCCATTTTTCCCTCCATATGCAGAGTGCTTAGAGGAAAAGAAAAACATTCCAGAAATATTTGGAATGTTACCATTAGGGTCTCCATAACAAATTATCTTTTGTCTTGGATTTCAGAGGACACTCCCTGAATTCCAGTTAAATTGGTGTATCTCATTAGAAATGGTTTTTTTCATTGTATCTTAAATACAAGTTCTGTAGTTCTCTTATTTCTCCCATTAGTTTATTAGATACGTTAGACTGTAGCAAACTATTAGCAAAAATACTATTTGATTTCAGGGATAAAATGCTAGTTAAAAAAAAAAAAAGCCTCAGATATTACCAAAATCGAATGCCTACCCCAAGTCTTTAGGGAAAAGAACCACTAAAAATTCCTTACTGCTAAGAATGCCATAAAGAAGCAACTTGAGAGTTTTATCCTACTACTTTTTTCCTACAAAATCAAAGGCAGAGAAATCAAAATGTGCAGATTACCTGGCTCCTTCCTCACTAATAGGACGTTACTTGAGCTTTTCATTCTTTTTTTTTTTTTTTTTTGGAAAACAATAACAAAAACAACAATAGCTAAAGTGATATATAGAGAAGAAAAGTGACTGTCAGTGCAGTCAAGTAGGGGTTTTTTCTTCAAGGAAACGGGCAGAAAATGAGTTGCATTCTCAGCCTGAAGCAGAATTTTACTGACATTGTTTGATACACCCATCACTAGAGGTAGTTTGGTATAGGCAACACTACTCTCTATTCAAGCATCGGTACACATTTTGTGACTGCATACACAGATACGGATCCTATCTCCTTAGACTCATCTTTTTTTTGTTTGTTTGTTTTTGTTTTTTGAGGAGGAGATCAATTCATGAAGTGCATTCCACATAATTCTGTTGCAAAAGTCAGTCTGGAGGCTTACGCTTCAGAGAGTTTTATTAAAACATCTACCATTCACTTCCCAATCCTGTAAATAATCACTGATTAGTAAGGAATTACAACTTTTTTTTTTCATACTTAGACTATTAAAAATACTCCAAACCCCTATAACTATAACCTATAACCCCCTATAACCCACACACACACATTCTACCTGGCTGTATTGCTTATTGACTGTGGCTTAGATAATACATTATTACCTAATCCACATTTAATAAATTATTACCCAATACTTTACCCACTATAACAGACACCATAGTAAAAGCAGATTCTTACTGTGAGTGTGGAGAGTTTTGGCCAATATTTCATAGTTTTTCCCTGAACTAAGATGAATACAATTGACAGAACTAAAACAAATAAAAAAGACGAACATCTAAAAGTAATGCTTCCGTTTTTACAGACAAAAGCTGATATAAACAGAGGCAAGCATATTAATTCAAGAGGTGAATACATATTCTTTCTATCTAGAGCATTTTTTTGTATCAGCAAGTGAACATGCAGAAAATATTTAAAGAATTTACAATGTGTCATCACTTTAATGAAGCTCAAGTAAAGAAGAACTTGGAACTTACAAGTTTATAAATCTCATACAAAAAGTTAAGTGTGCTCTCTGGTTTAGAAAACTACCTTCCCCTTAATTTCACTAGAAATGCAATGCTCTCCAACCAAACAAAATTCAGTACTGTAACAGACTTTTTTTTCTACGAAAGGCTGATTGCAACTGCAACAAAATGATGAAGTGATACAGATGTTTAATTCTCCATGTTTTACATTTAACCCAACATATCTGTAATTAATGTGTTTTAGACTGGGTACTGACTAGGTGGCCTCTGGGCTTGGAAAGGAAGATTTTAGGTCCTTAGGTTAACTTAAAAACGCAGGTATTCACAGTGGACCTGTTAAAGGTTTAGAAGTCTGAAAAAACAATTGTCAGCAGATGGAAGAGTAAGCATATTGATGGAAAGAAACACAGGTTCAAGTTTTCTTTGTAAATTTATCTCTAACTAGGACAAAGACGCTTAAGCAGTGCCCTTTCTCTTACGCCTGCAGATACCACTGCATGCTTACACAGGTAGCACTTAACTCCTGTGAGTCAGGCATCATCCAAGACCTCACGCTGTAATTTTCCATGTATTTTTAACTCTAGAACCTAACTATGAAGACAGGCTTATAGAGATTATAATTGTTCTTGCATCTACAGTTCTCTAGAGCCATTACTGAGGCATATCTGATTTGACTACCAAGACAAGCCAGCAGAACATATCTACACCTGTGAATAGGTTTCAGAAAATTTATTACATAGCTATACAGCCAGGTATGGATTAAAGAGGATTTATGTCAACATTTAGCAGTGCTTGTGAGGGGATTACGCAAAATAAATCTGTTTTAGTACTTACTATCCGACTTCCCATCTTCTACGATTTGCAGTTGCAATGCTTTTGATTTGGCACTTAATTCACTGTGAAGTAAAAGAAACCATGTTAGGTCTTTGCATGCAAGTATTTGAACTTCCTCCCCACTTACTAGATTTTCCCCTTCTCTATCTAGTTGCCAGCACCACAACTTTTCTTATCGTGCACTGACCTAAGCAGTAAAATTGGCTAACTGAAGAAGGCAGCGTTGCCAGAGCCCTAGTTTCTCATGACTTCAGAAGAAGCTAAGAGAGTGATCAGTAAACAAAGTTGGGTATCTCCAGCACTGTTACAAAGAACCGATTGCCAGAGATATCAGAGCTTTTCCTCTTCCCAGTAGTTCACAAATATTGCTGTTCAAGCTGATGCTGATCCCTCGTCTTACTGCTACACAAAAACAAGGAAGTGTTTTTTTTCTTTCTAGTAAGCCTGGAAGTGAGTTTTTCCCAAATGTTGTAAATGTTGGAATAGGTCCAATCAACAACTTATTAAAGGCTGAACAGTGTCCTGCCACAGCAATAAAGTCTCCTGCAAAAGCAGGATGGAAATAAGTAAATAAAGGTAGTTACAAGTGCTATGTGAGAAGAGTGGTCATTACTTTTCCAAAAGAAGGCCCAAGAATGTTTCAAGAGAGTAAGATCCAGATCTATGTAACAGAAACAACCAGAACTACTAGCAGAACTATTAGTATCTGCATTATGTTACGAGCTGGATTAGACAGGAGATACCCAAACCTTCCCTGCACTCAAGCCAGAGAAGCAAACTCACTACCTGCTGAAGAGGCTCGTAAACTGGATTTTATACCTTTTTTTTTTTTTCCCCCCTCCAGGAAGTATTCTGTCAAAAATCCTTGAGGATGTGCATATATGTATTTTACTTTTCTACATTTCCAAATTTGGATGATGTGATATAGGTTTCAAACATTTCCCATCCATCAAATGCTTTGGGACACTACCCATGCAGCAGGTTTCAACCTTTTCTCTGCCACTATCACACCCTTCTACACCTCCAAAACTTCAAAGGAAGCACCTCAAAAGTTTCACTTGTTCCTCTTCCTATAAAGCAGAGACTGACACAGTGTAAAGCACACAGGCTATGAGGCATTTTGCTTGAAGGAAAAAAGGGACAGGGAAAAATAAACATGAAAGAAAATATGCAGACAAATCCTGAACGTTTATCTTAAAAAATCCCACAGGACTTCCCCAAGCTTCTTTCAAGCACTTCTAAAGAACACCCAATGCCAAGGAAAACCCAGCATTCTCCCTAGTGGGAAGGCCAAATTCCAGACAACTTAATCACATCCTGCCTGCCTGGCCCCTCTCTGCACTTTCGGTAGGAAGGGGTATTCCTATGAACTTCCCGCCCAAGCGCGCCGGGGATGCATCCGTTCTGCAGCACGGAGGAGGTGGAAGGCGGTGGGCACCTCCGCCCACAGACGGTGGAAGCGAATGACAAAGGCAGCGTGCGGAGTGCTCGGAAACACCCCAGAGCACACGAGTGCTTCACAAGTGGCTGGTTCCTTCAGCAGTGGGAAACAAATCACAGAATCACAGAATGGTTGAGGTTGGAAGGGACCTCTAGAGATCTAGCCCAACCCCCCTGCTCCAGCAGGGACACCTGGAGCATGTGGCACAGGGTGGCATCCAGGTGGGTTTGGAAGATCTCCAGAGGAGACTCCACAGCCTCCCACCATGTGAATCCCCAAGTCTCGAGGGCAGCATGGTGCGCTGTCACAGAAGGACTAACGCAGGCTGGTCCGTGCCTTTCCATGAAAGCCTTGGTCCTCGAAGCTAAAAATCAGCACGCACGGGCCCTGCTTCTCCTTTAGAGAATGTAAAAGGATAAGGCTTTGCAGTGTGGTCGTACAGCATCAAGTTTTCTTTGCTGTCTATAGTGACTTCCAGTCTTCTCCAGCCCTCACTCACATCTAAGGGCACCGGTGCTCTTGAAGTCCCTTGCAACTCCTGATGACCAGTCCTGGAGCCTTCCTTCAAATCAAGCAATCCCTGCTGCTTTTCCCCACGTTCCTGTGCTGCACACACCCACAAAAGCCACATAAAAGCCCAGTCCAGCAGAGTGCACAGCGACGGAGGAGGATCCGCGCACTGGGCGCTCCCTGCCCCCGAGGTCCTGGACAGCACGACCACGTTCACCCCGTCTGGGAGGGAGAGGGGACTTGGCGCTGACGGGAGCAGAAATGAAGGCACGTTCAGCTCCTTACAAGCCAAACTGCTGCTTTAGGAGAGAAGGATGCCAGGCGGTGACCAGGCAGCGAAGAAAAATATTTAAAGAGAAACAAACAAAAAAACCCACAGCACCATTCTTTGATATCTATGGTGGGAGAGATAGGGGGAAAAGCTATAGAAAGGAAAGACCACAGGCATCTGCACATAGAAAGGAAGAGACCACAGACATTTGCTAGGCATCAGGTGCTCTCCCACGACTCCCCAGGTAGAAAAGGCGGCACGTGCAGCGCTCCCCAGGGCAGCCTCTCTTCCCTGCCTGCGCTCTCGGGTGCGTGGGGCTCGAGCCACCCCCTTGGTCCACCCCATCAGCGGCTTCCCACACCCAAACCAAACAGTACCGAAGCTACCAGGTATTTTCTGCTCTGTCACTAGAAGGTGGAAATTCAAAAGCAAACAGTTCTAAAACTCTTTGATTGTATTCACAGAAACTGTATAAATTGCTAAAAACTGTGCAAGCCACCTGAAATTCCCATTTTTGCTCTACAGAAAAATCTAGTTAATTTTACACTCTCCTTTTAGTAGTAGTAACCATTCTTTTAGATGGTCTTTTTTCTTTTTTTCCCCCCCATAAGCATTTTTCCCACTGGAGGGAGGGATGAGAGAGAAATCACATTTCTGCAAACACTGTTTTAAATAAAAAGTGAATTTGAAACCTTGCTAACACTTTTTTGGGCACTTAAAGCACAGGGTAATTTATCATGCTTGCTACTGCTGACATTTGCTAGAGTCAGATATTTGCCAGGGAAGATCTAGACCTGTTTGATCTCTTATCCATGCAAACGGTGCTAAGATATCCTGAAGTCCCTACCAGAGCCAGATTTCTGAAGCCACCTGACACGCTCGACAGGATATATTTCAAAATATATTTTTCCTCTAAAACCTCACATAGTTTAAGTTAAAAAATAGAAGAGAAAGAAAAAAAGAAAAAAGAAAATGCTCAGTAGGTGAGTTACTTACAAGATAAACTCTTCTTTCCAGAAGGGATTTGCAGCATTTTTGGCTACAGAGCTGGAAAACTTCTGCATAGGGTCATTCAACTGAAGTATACACACGAGGTTTGTGCTGCCTATAAGGGCAAGGCAAACAAATCAATATCCAGGTATTAATCTTCTATCACCAGTAGGCACATTTGTTCAAAAGAAAGTGAAGACCTTCATCCTTATGTACTGCCCATTTGAACAAACAACTGGAAACGCTTCCTCACCGACCCACAGAATAAATTTCTCCCTTCCATCCTTCTTGTGCTCCAGCTGCATTAATGACTGTGGTCAAGGCAGGATCAGCATTGGCCCGGGAACTGCTCAGCAGTGTGAAACAACATGACCCAGTTTATATTCTGGCATGAAGCAAACTGTTGTATGAAGGCATGAAAAGACCAAGAGGGCCAGAGACACAGACCAAATATCAAGCAAGTGATGGCAGCAGACAAAGTAAAGTTGTTCGGAATTTCTTAAACAACAACAACAAAAACAGAAAAAAGAAAGACCTTTTTTTAAAGTTTCTACTGGGCAAAATCACAGTGATTTCTTTGGAAATCACAGAAAGAGGTTGTTTTTGTGTGTTTTTTTTTGTTTTGTTTTAAGCAAGTGAACAATCATAGCAATCTTAATTAACAATGGCTTAAAGGACTGTAGCTTTTAAAAAATCAATAGCATTTTAGAGTGCTGGTGCAGAAATATCTGTACCCTGATCTCACGACTTGGTAGTCACTAACTGGCATATTGGAGATGTTACAGTTATTGCAAAGGAAAATAGTTTGCACAAAGTGTTAAATAAATAAATACAAAAAAAAGTTTCCTTTGTATGTTTTTTACATCATCAGAAATCATCATCAAGGCCCAGAGTTTCAAAACATTAAAGACTGCAGCAATATTCTCACCACCAACACTGCGTAAATCAAACACAAGCCACGCTGCCTCCTGCTTCCTGCAAGAATTTACGTTTCTATTTAACATCACCAACTCAAAATTGTTCTCTGCTGGTGCATCTGGGCCGGGATGAGCCCTTTCACAGGCACACGAGCAGCTTGAGCCCCACAAGGTTATTAGAGGAGACAAAGCGCTCCGTGCACGCAGCTTATTTGGGATCCAGCCCTGCAATAAGCAGTTTAGCTGCTTCCACAACGCACTGAGCCCCAGCTAATGCAGCAGGGGCAGTTTTCTGTGGGGCCAGCCATATGTCTGCACCCACCGGCAGCGTGAGGTGGCCGCTGCGGAGCCGCTCGCAGAGCCAGGCCTGCCGCCGCGCCGGAGCCCAAGGATTATTTAATGTATACGTGTATATAAGTGAGAGAAGGAATCCTGCCACAGGCTGCTCTCCGGCTGAGCTGCTGTGCCTGCACGGGAGCCACGAGCCCCGTAAGGCAGCCCCGGAGCGACCAACAAACCCCGCGGAGCGGCGCGGTCAGCCCCAGCGCTGCCCCACGGCAAGGCAGGGCCGGGAGAGGGGACGGCAGCGACAGGGAAAAGGCAGCGGGCCAAGCCCAGAGGCGAGCGCTGCCAGCTGAGCGGCATTCGCCATCGCGTTTAACACGAGTGATCAGCTAAACCCCAAAACGGCGCTCGATTTCTCACACCGAATTCCCACACAGTCACACTACAAAATGTGCGAGGGAACCAGCAAAATTCCCGCCGTCCCCTTTTAGAAGGACAAATGGTTATGTGGACAGTAGAATCCGGGCTGTCGTGGTAGATAACACTGTCCCCTCTTCCCCTCATTTTCAAGGAGGGAGCAGACCAGCTTCCCCTAGGAGGGATCCTTTACCATATATATTCCATAAAGATTAGGTTCCTTCCTAAAAAAAAATGGGGAAAGGTGGCAAACATGGGCAGTCAAAAATGATCAGCTCTTTTGAAAAGCTTAGCTTGCACTATGAAATTGTAGCATAATAATGAATCCTTAATGATTTTTTGCACTCTGCTGTTTTCAGCAGTTTTATTTTTACCTGACATTTCACTGCAAAGACTTCTAGAATTACTACAAAAATAACTTGTTTCCACAAAAAGGTCTGTAGAAAGTTTTAGAGAAATCCCTTCCAATCTGGATGAGCAAAGAAGCCTTATGCAACCATCTGGGGCAGAAAATTATTGTACCCAACTGAATGAAAAGGAATACTGCAAGTAGGATATATTTATCCCAAACTAATGCCTTCACCAACTTAATAGCCACAAACTGTCACCAAAAAAAAAAAAAAAAAGCAGTTATGGAGCTGTCAGCAATGCTCAGTCACAGGACCTCAAATGTGCATTTTATTGGACAAATCTGAAATATGCTTGCTCAGGCCTCCAGTGCTGATGTGGACATGCCTGTACTTGAAGAAACTTTAATACTTGTTAAGATGGGCTTGGAGCTTTCCCAAACCACCAGAGCAACCTCATTAGGCAGTGATGTCCCTTTTTGGCTTTATTCACCTTTTGTCAAGGTTCCCCCCACCTCAAAAAAGTACTTTATTAGGGAATAAAAAACAACAACAACAACACACAATGTTTAAAAAGAGTTTACATACAGGAGAAGAGTTTTAGACACAACAAGAAATTGCCAAAAAAAAGCAGCTGTAAATAAACCTCACTACTATTAGCTTAGTAGTGAGGAGGTCATCCCCATCAATCTTGGATGCACCCAAAGAGGTAACTTTAAGAAATTAAAAATCAACTCCAAAAAATATTTGACCTATTTTATACATGAGGTGCAATTTAATCTGTTCTTTTTTTTTTCAATAAAATTTCAGTTAAAAGATCATGATGTTTAAATGATCAAGTACCTAAAACACACAGAGTTTTGTACAAATAATGCTGAATCCATGTCTCAGAGTACAGCAGTTGCTTCCCGCTAGCTTTGGGACAAGTCTGAACTAGAACCTCCAAATGATTTCAGCATAAACAAATAAATAAAAAGCTGCCTGAAGATGAGCAGCGGCACATGGACTACGTTACCTGCAGCACTGTGATCAGTCAGGTTTGCCGTGACGTTCTTTACGAGGAGTTTCAGCTCGTGAGCCCTGGGAGGCTTTGGCGGACTAGTGCCCTGAGGGACAACGCTTGTGCTTTGTATGTTCTGTGAAAAGCAAGAAAAACCAGAGCGTTTGCACATGCAAACACCACATATTTTAACTTCTGACACATTAATACAGTAAAGTGACATCTGATGGGGTGCAACATCAACAAGTAGCCACACGGGAGCATCACAAAGCCTTCAGTGCCAAAGGCTATGTTATTTTAAACTATGTCTTCTAGTTGTTTCTGATCGCTGAATTGTTAAGTTTACTCATTTGTGGGTCATGAATACCTAATAAAAACAGCGACCAGAAAAAAAAATTATCAAAAGATTTAGGGAGGAATAAAACTTACCTGCACATCCTTTATATCTGTAGGCTTTGTACTCAACACTACAGATGCAGTAACTGAACTGAAGAGGTTCTTCAAAACATCTCTGAGCGTTTCAGATATTGCACATGTCCCTGTTGTCTGTCCCTAAGGAGAAACAAACATTCACACTTCTAAAATCTCAGAGGAATAAAAGGTAAATCAAAAGACTAATAGGGTACATCTAAACTACTCAAGTTATCCAAAATTAATGTTTTGAGAAAGAGAAGAGATCTCTGCTGCCAACAGCAAAACACATCAAAGTATCATGCCAGACATTAGGATAATCTTAGATCTTAAAGAAAACTGGGAAAAAAAAAAAAAAAAACAGAAGGTGCCCTGAGTGCTCATGAAGCAAAACCATTGCTGGCGTCCTGGCGCCCCTGCCTCCCCTTCCCCATTGCCCAGAAAAAGAGTTTCGTTATCAGGTTATGTCTTGGGATGTTGTTCTAAGCTTTTTGTGCTGCTTCACACACCGGGTCGGGTCAGCAGCGCCTCTTGGGTGACTTTAACTTGGCTAAGACATGCAGGGCATGGCAGTGCCCTGCTGCTACAAGGCACAAAAGCTGCCATTAAAATGGGGGAGCTCCGAGAACGCGGCTCGCGCTGCTCTGCGTTTAACAGCACCTGCTCGTGCGCTTCCCCACGGACACATCGCAGCACATCACGGTCCTTACTGGCACAGGGGGCTACCAGCCATTCCCTGGGAGGGGGAGAAGGCAATGAGCCACCCTTCCCCTCGCCTGAGCCTGAGGATGTCCCATTTCAGTGTCACACTATCGACAAGATCTGCTCTGCTTAAGGCCCAACTTGCTCAGCTGGAGACACTACGTCAGTCACACAAAGTGCAGTTTGATACTCTGGTGCCACGGGGAAGTCTGAAACAACCATGGCCGGGCAAAGCCATCCAACCCTGCCATGCATCCAGCTACCCTGGACATGTCCTCTGCTTAAGGACCTTGTGCCCTTGCACAGAGAGTTCTCAGCACCGGAGAGGCCACAAGGGATCATTTCAGAAGTCCCATTCACAATTCAAGTGTAGGAAAGCTATGTGGATTTGTTTTTGCACTTGTAAAGGTACGTCTGAAGCTTGCATAACAGGACAAACACATCTGTAGCAACAGCCCTTTCCCAATTAGCAAAGCATTATAGAAACATTTAGGATGTTTCACAAATATCCCAAGAATGCCGTGCAGAGAGCACTACCTGTTTCACTGCCTTCCTGTGTAATCACCCTTCGAGGACATGTAGCTGCTGTTCAAAACATGCAACAGTATCAGTTGATTCACAGACAGTAATTTTGCTTTGTTTATGCTATGCTCCCTGAAACCACTGCCAAGGGGGCAGCAGCACCCTGCTGCAACGGGCCGGTCATGGCCCACACGTGTGTTTTTCTTTAAAATATTAATGAAGTAAATAAGACTGAAGTCTCAGCTTCAATTTGTTTTTTTTTTTTATTTGTGATATGTAAACAGGCAGATATAGTGCTGTAAGCTTGCATAACTTGCAATAAGGTTATTGCCCTTCTGCCCAGATCTTACTTAAGTATTGCTTGATGAAGAAAGCTGTAAAATTCCAGCCAGCTCTAACTGCCGCCAAATTGGCCTGCCAGTTTTCACTTTGATAAAACAACAACAGTAGTAATTGAATTCCTGCTCATGGGCACTTGCTGATGTTTTCATAGTTATTTACGAAGCAATTTATTTAAGAGCTTCCTTTCAGTCAACCTGTTTTTTAGTCATTGTAAAGAAATGCTTGATCACCTCACTTCACTACAAGATAAGTCACAGTGGCTTAGTTGTCACCCCAAAACGTTTAAGGAGACACATTTCACGTTGAGCTTGACATGGACTAGGGCTATGCAGTCAGCTACTGTGGCTAGCATGCAGCAAAGCAGTTCACTGAGTAACGTCATGAAACGTAGGACCGAGCCCTGCAAGCCATCCCGGTGCACAAACGGTGCTCAGGTTGATCCAGCGTTTACCAATAGAAAAGACTCTTATTTTCTCCTTCTCTGAGTGATGATGGAACTAATGTGTAGATGGAAAACAGCACTTAAAGTTCTTTATTTGTACACAAAATGCTTCTTTCAAAAGAGCTAAAAACAAGGCACAAAAGCTGTCATTAAAGTTTAGAAGCTGAAGCAATTTCCAAGGTGGAAGTGGCTGACAGGTTCCAGCTTTGATTGCTTCCCCAAATGCTAATAGAAATTTCAAAGTGAAAATAGGTTCTTAATGGTTAAGAGCTTTAACAGATTTGTTTTAAAAAGCACAGGCCAAGCAGAGGGAGTGGTAACTGCTTTGTAACTCCAGCGTCAGGCATCTTTCAAAAAGCAGGTTTTAAAGTCCAGCCAAATCCATTGACTGCCGCAGAGTCACTTGTGTTTGTCACTAAGTACTTAATGATTGTTCAATATGTGGATAATCAACGTGCCAGTCCAATGCACAAAGGTCATTAATGTTGCTACACATGCCAGCAGGATCTACGTTAAAAACACACTTCAAAAGACCTGTCTTTAGTTATGAGTTGGACTTTTTTTGCATATAAAAACTATGGTAATAAATTACTGCAATACTAGGTCACTTGGTACGGATCTGCAGAAGCAGCTTGACAATGGAATAAAGCTAATTTTTAATGAGATCCTCGGTCAGAAAAGCAACCTCACAAAATAAAAGCAAGAGACAATGCTGCACCTGCTGTTGTAAGAAAGGCCCAACAGGCACCTTTCTCATGCCCTTCCCTGTCCCCCACAAATAAAAAGAATTATAAAGGGTGAAAGATAAAAAGTCGCAAATCATGAAGGAACTTTTTCAGGAGATTTGTAAATAAGCTCCCAGTGACTCAGTGCTTATATACTAAGGTGCAATTCAGAAAGCCTCAAGATACTTTTACCTACATCATTTATCTTTGCCTTAAAAATCTTGAGTTTTTCAGAGCTGTTCCTGAATGGGGGTTGCCAGATTCCAAGGCCGATTTATGCTAAGAAATGGGCAGATTCGTAATTACTTGGATGGGAATACCATTATAAATTTTTTTTAGAAGTGCTCTGAAAAAAAAAGTATTTGGGAACAGCCATTTTTCACAGCTTTAAACTTGCACAGAAAATATTTGCCAAGTCATTCATTTGTTACTGAAATGCTCCAGCAGTCTTGAGAGATGCCCGTAGACTTCAGAGATTCAGGGTTTTGCCTCATGAGCCTTGCCAAATTCCACCGACGCAGTTTAAGACACCAGTGCCAATTGGTAACTGCCCTACTCTCCTACCAAACAGCAGAAAGGAACAGGAGGCATTTTTCTCTTCAGTTGTCCAGCTTGGGCTGGCATCTTAGCCACTTTCCTTGCTAATCTGAAGCAATTCCTGGGGTTTGGCACTGAAGAGGCTGAGACACCGCTGAGGGTTCCCCAGAGCAGAGGGACAGGGTGGCAACGAGGGGCAGCAGCGCTTGCCTGAGGCCTCTCCAAACCTGGACCACATTTTGTGTTAAGACACGTTGTTACGACAATAAATAAAACTTATGGACTGACCTCCTGCACTGCTGGCTGGATTTCAAAATTGGTTTCAGAGGCGTTAATGAGGAACCACTCAACTTTGACATCTTCTCCCTTGTCCTTCACGTAGAGTTGAAGCTGTGGATATGTGAAAGAAGATATGGGAGGGTGCTCTTAGTATGGAGTTACCCCCCATTCTAAGGCTCAAAGCAAGAATTATATCAGTTTCTGAGTGAACAAATACCAAGGCGACAGCCTAAGAAGATTGAAGAATTAAGCTTTGCAAATATGTGCCAGTCAAAAAAGGGCTTTTTTTGTTCTATGCATCTAAGCAGTCTCCCCAAAGTGCTGTTTATCCAGCCTTCCGACGGAAGATGTTTACTTCATGAATTTATCACTTGCACTCGATGAATTTTATTATTATTTTTATTGTTATATATTTAATATTATTACATGTTTTACCTGAGTTACCAAGACTTTGTAGGCATTTTACAAACAAGTCATGAAACCGCCTTTCAGATCTTGTAGCTTTGCCATCGGATTAGACACAGCAACAACAAAAATAATAGATACCTATTAGAGACTAATAGATACCACTTTACCTGCAAGTGGAGTGGTGACAGTTTCACACTGTACGACTGCCTTTCTGCAGCAGTGGGTGAAGTATGTGAGACACTGACAAGGAATGTAACAGAGTCTCCCACAACTTTACAAGAAACCACCTAAAGGAAAGGTAAGGAGCAAGGAGACAAGAGAGGGGGAAAAAAATTTAGAGGTTAGAAGAACGTGTGGGCAGAGTAGGAAAGGAACTCAGGACTTTAAGCTACCAGAATTATGCTAAATTCTGTAGATGGAATATTTCCGGGCAATCCTCGCCATTTTTAGGACTGAGTGCATGGAAGGAGGTACATCACATTTTCACTTTTGGACATAGAATTTATAATATCCAGCAACTACAGTATTTTCCATAAATATAAATAAGTAAAAATAATATATAAATACAACTAAAAAGTTTTGAACTTCAAAAAAGATTAATTCCTCTTCCTCTCCCAATCTAAACTAAGCATCTTATCACAAGATACCTGGCTTTACCTGACATTAGTTTCTGAGCGAAAAAAAAATGAACTAAACAAGTCTCCTTTTGGTGGTATCTCACCGTCAGAAAACTTTGCCAGAACGCAGCAGCGGCGGCGGCTGCTGCAGAGGAGGATTCGGGTCAGTAACTCCAATTCCCAGCTGGTGCGGAGGGACAGGAGCCTTTTAAAGGCTATTCAAGTTTTTGATTAAGCCAGGAAAGGCACAGACATTCAGTACGGAAGGTAATGTTTGAGACAAGCGTGAATGCCAGGTGACTGCAATATCCTTGTTTACGTAAACTCCGGCACTTTTACAAGCACCAATTTAGGTTGTTATCGCACCAAGTTTACAAACACAGAATCGTTTCTCCCTCTGCAAACCAACTTAGGCTCCAGAAGCACCGTTTGAAATTCAAAGCAAGCTACAGAAAACATCGTGCAGCACACGAGAGCCCCAGACAGTGAGGAAAGAACGCTCTGCAAGATTCATTTGAGGGAAGCTCTGTACACTTGCTATAAAATTACATTTGTGTGCTTTACTGCCTCACTTATGGGCACTGAAATTAAAGTTGAAAGCTTTAAAATGAATCACATACCTTCCGGAAGATCCTTAGCAGTCTCTTTAAATATACTTAATCTCCCTGGGCTCTCTAAGAAGCACCAGAACATTATCAGGAGCTTCGGAGCATATCCATTAAGGTAGAGACTTAATTACAGAGGAGCAGCAAAGAGAGGTGGGGGGCAGGAACCAAACAAAAATCCCAACCACAACCCCAGGCAGCAAGATTTACCTTTCAGGATTACGGCTCTGGCCAAGAATAGTTTGGAAGTGGAAAAATCCATTTCGCTCATTACTCCCCTTTCCCAAAATCAAATTCCTTCAAAATTATATTCCTTACTGCCATACAATCAGCATGAACTGTTATGCTCCACTATTGGAACATAACAGAAATGAATTTTAAGCATGTTTTTATTATCTAACAAGACCAAAGAGCTAACTTGCTGCTTATTTTATTTCTAACTGAGCTGAAACACAGAATTACTCCTTTTATTCACCATGAGGGCGGATTCTTGTGGCTCTTCTTTGAACACTTCTAAAAACTACACCCCTCTTTGGAGCGCAGGGGAGGAAAAAGGACAGTTAAAAAGCAAAAAAATTGCTGACACTTGCATGTCCTAAATGCAGTGGTCTGCCATCCGTGCACAACTGATCCACATGTGCATAGGGAGCTCAGTGCATTCAGAACAAGTTGGACTGGCTGCACATTTGATGTAGAGACATTCCTTTGGAATTTCTGGATGTCAGAGAGCCAAAGGTGCCAGCATTCAATTGACTATTATTTAAAAAAAAAAAAAAAAAAAGTATGGCAAGAGGGATGGTAAATGTGTTCATGTGCTCCTTTATTCTTAGACCTCACTTTTAGGTAAAAAAAAAAAAAAAAAAAAAAAAAAAAAAAAAAAAACAGAACCAGCCACTTCAGTCAGTAGAACTTTTATTCTTCTCTACCTTGTCAAGAGATCAAAACCATTAACTGGTATTTTTACCATTAGCCTAGGAACATAAACCAGCAGGGTTAAGTTTTAATCTCCTTGACTTATTCCTCTTCCAAAGTCATCTAGATAAGTCCACTTCCCTCTTCCTCCACTTTAAATAAAATAGTTGTGGTCGTTAGGCACAGAGGTCTGTTGATTTTGAACTCAGCCAGAAAAAGGAACTGCTTCCATGTTTGCTGGTAGAAAATAATAAGTTTTCTATCAGGTGACATTCCTTCATTCTGGGAGCAGCATGATGATTCATGAAATAGAAATAACGAGAAAAGTGGAGTCCTGGGCTAAAATTAGATGAGAAAGTGCCTCTGCTTTCATCCAAGACAGTGCTACAAGTGGTGGGAAGCTGATTAAAAAGAGAGACCACAACTACCACTTCCCTTTCTAAGTGACATTCCTTTAGAACTAGAGCAGATAATTTTGACAGACCAGGGAGACATAAACAGGCCATTTGCACCAGAACATTAACACGAAATAAAATACTGAAGTTTCCTGTGCTGTGCTCCCCTTCCCCCCGTCCCCATCCAACCTGCTTCCTCGTATTCTTTTTCCCTGTACAGATAAAGAGCAGTGACCAGCAAAACGCACTTCAGTCAACTCCTGGGACTTAGGCTGAAGTTGTGGCCAGAGCTTTAGAGACAAAATGTGTTTGTCAGCAGGAGAGTGGAGAGTCTGGCAGACAAACACCCTTCTCTGACGGAGAGAAGAGAGGAAGCATATATGTCCATAATAAAACGGCAGCATCTGAGTCAATAGGTGCTCTTCGGTCTCGTTTATCCTCCTCATTTCTTTCTCTAACACCTCTCCATCCCAAGTTATTGACCCCACTGATCCCAAGACTTTCCCCCTTAGTGACTGACACTTCCATGTGTCAGCTGCCAACCTTCCCCATGATCCACATGCTCCGGGCACTTTCTCGTGCCTGGCTACGTGCTCAGCACCCTCCAACCTGCCCCCTCACTCGCCTCTGCCTTCCGACCACCATCCCTGACCGCACCGGCCCCAAACTTGGGCAAAACCCCTTGGATTGGGCTCTCTTCTGTACTCGTCTGACACTGGGATCCTGCCCTACTGAGGGGCACGTGCGCCAGCACTTCTGCACATCTCGCCTTCATGCATCTAGAATTGTTAGTGCAATTATCCCCTTCTGTACTCGTCTGACACTGGGATCCCGCCCTACTGAGGGGCAGGTGCGCCAGCACTTCTGCACATCTCACCTTCATGCATGTTAGTGCAATTATCCTGAAAAAATAAGTTTCAGATAAACAACTAGGCAGGCTAACAAGATTGAAAAAGGATTTTAGCTGAAATAATGAAGAAATATGATACTTCTTTAAGACACCAAAGTGTCTAGGTGCCTGTACCAACAGCCAAGTCTTTTTCCCCCCTCACTCCTGTGTTGTCCTCTCCCTGCATCCCTGCACTTCTTCCTTCCCTGTTCCTCTGAACCGGACTGTAGGATTTCTATTTTTTCCCCCCTCCCTGGAGAGGAAATAGATTCTCTCCAATGTGAAGCAAATGGACATGATTTAAGCAGGAAATTTTTATAGTCCTATAGAGAAAGTTCTTCACCTCTCCCAAAACCAGGATTGCACCAAAGTGCATGTGTAAAACTCACAGCACTGCAGGCCTTGATTGCCTTCTTTCTGCAAAGGAATTAATTTTACAGCACGTGGCAGTTATTTCCAGACGGAGTAGTTTACTCAAGATCCAGGAATACGTATCAATAAAAGCAATAAAAACCTTTTAAAAGTTTGCACAAGAAAACAAGTGCATCACGGGGCAGCTAGAAAATGACAGCTGTCATGAACTCAGCTGCAGGCACCAGTGTGCAGCCAGGTTTGGGAGGCCCTCAATTTCCAATTCAAGCAGAGCAAACAAACAAATGCAGCACCTACCACAGGCACTGCTAGGGGCAGACTTTTAGAAGCCTGTAAGAAAGCAAGTTTGTGGGTGAATAAAGTGAGACAACCTCAGAGCCAATTTTCCAAAATGATGACAAGCAAAGGGTGAAGGCAGGGCGAGTGATGGAATGAGTGCACGAAGAAACATCCACGTAAGCAGCAGAGGCAAAACAAACACTGAGAGAACGGCGAATTTTTCTATTCCTCCGAGACTAACAAACACGCAAACTCAAGCCAGGGGAGGAAAGAGAGGCAGGGACGGAAGAAAAGAAAAGAAGGAAAGGAGAGAAAAATACCCCCTCAAAACCAAATAAAAAATAACAAAAAAAAAAGAAAAAGAGAAAGAAACAAAAAAAGGCAAAACAGAAGCAAAAAGGGAAAAAAAAGGCAAAAAAGAAGCAACAAAATTTTAAAAAAGCAACCAGAAGGTACAGGGAAACAAGACAGGAAGAAATTTTTAACCAACCTATCAAGTCAAGTGGGCACCAAACAGTAGGATAACAAGAAACAGTGCCGACACCTTAAAGGAGGAAAAATAACTAGCAGAAGTTTGGCCTGTTGGCTTGGCCTCACAAACACTCCAGCGTTTACAACCAATTTGGGAGCCAGGGTTGCTGTAGACAGAGACAGACAGAAGACCACGAAATGCAGGCGAGATCTGTCAGTCTGTGGCGCTGCAGCCGGGGGGGAGGCTCGCCGGCCACGGGCCGCCCACGGCACCCACATGTCACCCAGCGCCCTGGGAGGCCGCGGGGTGGCCGGCGCAGCAGGGCGCTAGGCAGGGTACCCGGCAGCACCAAAACCAGCACCATCTCTGCTCAGGCAAACCAGACCCAACCCTGACGTTGGCCTTGGATGAGACGCCTGGTTCTCAAATAGGTCATTATGTTGCTGTGTCTGTTTTAGCAAGTCTTCCTGTAGGTTACCCTATGGGATAATTAACTTAGATCCATTCACATTTTAAGGTGAACCTGGATGTGTCAAAGGGAAAGGAAAGCTTGTCAACAGACTCCATTACCCAGCTTTGCTCAGAAGCCCTCAGTATAAACCTACTGAAGTCTGATGCTAAGGAGAGAAAGCTGGGAAGCAGCAACGCAGAAGAAAGTTAGGGCACCACACAGAAATGCTGAAAAAACCTTGAAGACTAGAAGAAATGCAATTCATAGTGCACAGCACATGTGCATGAGAATCAACAAATACTACTATAGGGGGGCACTTATTGCTAGGAGAACAAAATGGGATAAAGCCCTGGATGCGTTAAGTCCATCACAGTACGATGTAGACACAAAAGAGGTAAACCAGAATTTTAAAACACATGAAGAAAATGCTTTTAGAGAAACAAACAAACAGCAACAACATCAACAACAACAAATGAATAGCAGCAACAAAAAACAGTAATTTCAAAGCATGATGAGAGCTGTCTTAAACTTGGACATCCAGTTCAAGAAAAATGAATTTAACTGAAACAAGTGTGGAGATGAATGAGCAAAAGCTATTTGTAAGGCAAGTGCACGCCATAAAAGCAAACTTAAGGAACACCAAGCTAAACAGAAAAGCTGAAAGGAAATATAATTCCTTCACAATGTATTTATTGACAGCAAGCACCAGGGAAGAAAAGCAAACACATTAGGGATAAAGGATTAGTTAGTTATTAGTACAGAGAAGAGAACGAAAAAAAAAGTGAAGAAATAAAACAGAGCTGTGTGGTCTTTGACTCCATTTAGGCTTGAAAAGACAGTCATTAGCACAGCAAAGTGCAGGGGCAGCTTTTCAAGCAGAGCAGGGAGTTAAAGGACAATAGGAGCTGCACGTGATGGTCAGGAAGCTTCACTCAAAAAAATGCCTGTGATGACACGGCTCAAAAATAAACAGAAATGATCACATGTACAAATGATCACATTTATCCCAGTTAGCACTGCACTGTTTGAGGCGAGAGCCATCTTTCCCACAGCTCAAATAGCCTTTGCTTCACAAGGTCTTCATCTGCTTCAAAGTGAGTCGAACTGGAAGGCCCAGCTTCCCAGCGCAGCACTGCCACGGGCTGCCAGTTCACAGCAGGGCGACTGGAAATGAAGCAACGAAGATTAAGCTGCAATAGCCACGTGGTTGAAGACAACCTTCTCAGGCAGGCTGCACCGCCCGTCGGAAGAGAGTAGCTCTCACAAGCCTACAAAATAGTTGTCTTCTCTCTCCACTGGTTCCCCTAGCAAGATTCATAATTGACCTGACGCTTTGGTATTTGCTATCCCTACCATGACACAACACTGGGATTCTTTGTATGGCAACTTATTATAACTCATGGAGGGGATGCCGAACTGCAGGTACTCTTCTTGGAGGTTTTTTTCCTCTTTTCTGGAAGCCTGAAGCAGGAAAAAGAGGGAGACCTCTGCTGCAGAAGTTTGACAGAAGTTTGCTCTGTCCAAACCTTTCTGCGCCAAGATCTAGACAAGAGAGTCAGCTTTCTGCTGCACATGTTTTTCCTGCCAAGTTCAAAGCCTCTAGAAATAGATTACAGTAATGGAAGGATTGGCAGAACTGGCCAAGAATACTGCCAAATGCTTACTTTACTAAAGTAAACCAACCAACAACATGCCGTGAAAAAAGGCCACTTGATGCTATACATCTAGGCTGTGGCACAAACCGGTTACACACGTGGAGTAAAGGCTGTAACGCAGCGAGAGGCGCCGCCAAACGCAGCGCGGGGCGGCCGTCTCCGCAGAGTGCCTCAACTCCTGTCCCTGTGGCGGGCGCCCAGCTGCCACCAAGGAAGGTCCCCAGCGCCTGGGACCTGCGGGACGCACCAGCCTCACACCCTTAGGTGTCCTCATGGAAAGGGCAGCACACAGGCGCCCGGGGCCGGCGCGCGTCCTCGCCGCGGACCATCCACCATAGGGCCCTATCACAGCCAGGCTGCTGATCCCGCGTCGTTCCCAGGGAAGGAGATCAAGGCCGGCACCGCGCGGCTCCTCACCCGGCTCTGCCCCGCGGCCGAGGCTCCCACAGCAACAGGCAGCCCGCGTGCGCTGCGCTGTCCCCGCTGCATGTTTACTGCTGCTGGGGCCTCCCACCCTCAGTCCTGTTTCCTTCTGCGCCCACAGCCCTCTGATGCAAGGCCTTGAAAACACATATTTGAAAGGACATGCAATAAAGCAAGCCCTGGCTCTGGTACAGGGGAGGCTCCCATGGCGCCCGTGGACTCCTGCCACACACATCACAACTATTGAACTGGTTGCAGGATTGGAGCGTGCGCCAGCTGATGCCCTGGGCAAGTGCAGAGCTCTGTGGCATGCTACAGCACTGATGAACGTGCAGCCCATGCTGCACTCAGAACCAGCAGCGCGTTCTGAACTCGCACCGTGAGTTCAAGTCTGTTCATGGTGCAGAGAGATTTCTATTTCACATAAAATTCACTAGTAATATTAAAAAGTTAAAAAGGGGCAAAAAAAATCTTTAGACCCTTGGTATTACCTGACAAATATGCCAAAGAAAATTAGTGAATGAAAGGAAAACTCCTGATGTGTTTAGAGAGGCGTCTATTTAAGGAGAGAGTGAAAGTAACTACAAGAGTGCCCTTCTAAGGTGGTTATATACTTAAATCCAAATAAATTACTCAGGTTGTACCTTAACTGATAGAGTTAGAACAACTCAGAGAATATTCTTCAGCAGCTGCGCACAAGATTATGGAAATGGTTCTGGGATAGTTCACAACAACCCAGCTGACATCAGCAAAACTCTCGTGATTCAACACATTTTTAAAATGTGCTTATATTGGTTTAACCACCTGTAAAACCACATTCGGCTGCTGGCCACAGCACAGCAGCCCCATTAGCAGGCCAGGGTGGCTCACCCATGGCCAGACAAGCACCAAAGGCTGCACAAGGGAGGCTGCAGGATCACAAACCCGCTGCTGCGGGAGAGCAGAACTGCTGCAGAGCACCCGGCCATCCAACTGGCTGCCACGGAGTGAGAAGCCACCTGGTCCCACGGGCCGAGCTGTCCCAGCCCAGCCGAGCCCCGCAGGGCCCCACAAGCACCAGCAAGCAGAACACCCGAGCTAGATTTAAGCAAGGCAAAAGTTAACTTAAGGACTGAACGCAGATGTTTCTGGTGATATAAAATGACTTAGGGAAACCCAGGTCTGCGGCATTATGCTGCAGCTCTGCTGCGCAGGAGGACCAAAAAGGCTTTAGCCTTGAGACACTGCTGCTTAATGGTACAGTCGAATCATCTCGCACGCAAGGACATTTGCGGCCGTACCCACTTTTCCACATTTCAGACAGCACACTGCAAGTCACAGAAGTGTTTTTGTGGCTGTCACTCGCTACCTTTTATTCATAGTGGTTCTTTCTTCATTTGTGGCTTCACACATAATACAAAACAATACTCTAAGACCCAGCAGTCCCGTCTCCTTCCAGCTCCCCTCACACTGACACCTCTTCCAGGAGCACTAGGTAACACCAACACCAACTCTAAGGTCCTCCCAACTCCACGATCTCCAGCAGGAGCTGCCAGAGAGAAAAAAAAAGAGAACAAGTGCACAAGCACCTTTACCTGCTGGCAGCCACTAGCTACAGGGCCACCCATTGGGGTGTGACTGGCAAGATGCGTATCAGGCAGATAAGCACACATAGTTTTCAAAAGAATCATAGCATAGCTGCTTAATATCTAAAACAGACAAGCAAACCTGAATAGCAAAGCAAATTAGGGAAAAAAAAAAAGTACCAGGTCAATTTGGTTCGGATGCCTACAGCCAAATGCCAGTTCAGATGTGAATGGTAGTTAGAGTAACTAGGATGAAAATGGAGAAAATGCTAATACGCATACATACATTTTTCCTTCTGATGTATCTCTATATCACTCTAAGAGCCATATTCTGCCTCATTTTAATATTACATGCATTAAGCAGAGAGAAAAACATTTCCCAGGATGTGCTAGGGTGTTTGTGTGGGAAGAGCTGGGACAGCCTCTTGCCACCAAACAATAGAGTCAGGTGGAACTTCACCCCAAAGACTTTGCACCTGTTCCAAGATCCCTTTCCATTCAGGAAATGGAAAGCTCTGCTTCTGATGAAGCAGAGCTTGTCATCAGCAAAGCAAACAGCAAGATGAAGGCAAAGACTCTTCACAGACCCACAGAAGTGTCCCTTTCCCCCTCTGTGAATTCCCCACCCTGTGCTTCAGCAACAGGATGGGGAACTATTAGATTGAGGACAGTGGTTGAGGAGGGAACCACTCACACCCAATGAGTGAGTTTCATTAAAAGCACATAAACAAACTTGACATAACCCTGTTTATTGATCATTTGGCAGAAGCCCTGTGGCATACTTTGTTCACGACTTACAGAACAAGTGAATAAATGCAAAGAGTTTACACGGGTTCACTAGAGAGCCAGCCTCTCACCAGCCTTGACAAGCTTAGGTCAAGCGTGCAGAAGTATCAGAAAACAAAACTCCCACTGACACTACTGAGTAAAGAAGTTATGCTTCCCACTTAAAAGTCAGCTGAGACAAAACATCATCAAAGTTTACCTTCTCTTGTGCTGATTTTACAACACTAACAACTTCTTTAACTGCTAGCTCAAGGGGTTCCAGTGGGTCATTGTCCTCAAATGTAAGCAACTGGGAATCCTAAGAAAGAAGAAGAAAAGAAAGAAGCATTACTTTATCAGGCGATGTAACTATCACTTGAAAATTAATTGTCAGTAAAGCTCCTGGAAGAACCAGAGACAGAACTGAAAATGTACGCAAGAATTTGTTTATATTAATTGTACTACACCTCACTGCATAATACAAGGCAGAGCCTAAAAGTCTATACTTAGGACATGACTAGAGGCCTAATCATAACTCATCTTCCACTGTAGCAAAATATCAAGGTATGCAGCACAGTGCAGCAGAGTGATGCTCAAAACCAGTGACAGAGATCAGTGATTCATCAGAGCACCATAATTTTTAAATACCATAATATTAAATAATATTTGAGAAAGAAAGAAAAAAAAAGTCATATGGCTCCAGTAGTCTCTGCCTAAACAAGGAGATCCCAAATATTTGTTTGCAGAGGCGAGGGGAAAAACCCTCGCCCTCAACTCCAGCCTCATGTAGAGGTGCAGATTTAATATGAAGTGGTGACAGCTATTGAGTATTCAGACACAAGGCAAGAGACAAATAGCTCACACTTCTTGTTTGCGGGCAGGCCCCGCTTTCGGGACTGCCCGCAAGCGCATTTCGCCGCGGGCCGCACAGGCGCTCACGGCCAGGCCGCTCCATCCCGTCCCAGCAGCGCGCAGGAGTCTCGCTGGCCGCGCAATGCTGACACTGCCGGAGCTGTGTGACGGGAACAGCGCCCGGCTGCGGTGCCAGGCAGCAGCGCCGGCCCCGAGCGGCCTCCAGCTGCTCCCCGGGGAGCAGGGAGGCCGTGTGCGGGGCGCTGTGCAGGGCCCTGGCTCCCCTCTGGGGACAGAGTGCTGCTGCGTGGTTCCAGCTGCTTCCAGCTTCTACTGGTGCCTGTTCCCAACTTGTCCTAGGTTGCTTTTCCTTTCCTTTTTTCATTTTTTTTTCTCCCCCTTCAACAAGCACAAAGCAAACTAGCGTTTCTTAGCACCACATATGCTTTTCTGAGCAGCGCGGTGAGATTTGAAAGGAGAGGCAAGGCGATTTTCTCACTTTTCCTTTTCACCACCCTGGTTTACTGCCTGGAAAGAGTTAAAATGTTGTTCTTATCTTTCGCGCACACACATACACTGGCTCTTCCTTCTCCTCCAACCTCCCCCCAAGATGGGCAAAGGAAGCCCTGGGAGGCAGCTGACGAAGGAAACAGTGCTCTCCTGGACCTGCGCCAACGGCCACGCACGAATTTGGAGCCTTGGGATACCCAGAGCTTCCCAGAGAGTTTAACCCCGGCTTTTTCCACTGACACAGCAGGGATTCAAATCCCTGAGAACAGGGAATTAGGTTTGTCCCGGCCTCACCTAACCTGCTGGCTCTGTCACTGCAAACACGCCACGTTACGGCCTCTGCGAACAGGGGCCAGGAAAGAGAGGGGCCAGCCGAGTTTGGGGCATTGCTGGCCAAGCCGGCCACAAAGCAAACCCGTAAGGAAGGAAAACCCCCGCCACCCCAGGCACGGCCCTCCAAGAGAACATCCACAGAGAGGCAGAGCTGGACAAGGAGGACACGGACGAAGCCCAGCCCTGGGAGTTATTTACACAACACCTCGTGGGGGTCCCGGTACTGGTGGTGACCTGAGCGAGACGCTCGGCTGCCCACCTCGGCCCCGCGCC